CAACATGGGGCTCGAACTCATGACCCTGAGATCAAGAGTCACGTGCTCCACCGACCGAGCCAGCCAGGCACCCCTGGTTCACATTTAAACGGCTCCTTCTGCCCTCTAGTCACCGAATGAGGCTCTGGGGCCGAGAGCACCAGGCAAGACCAGGGAAGCCACCGAGTGGCAGGAGCCAGCCATGGGGATGGTGGCTGCTGATCAAGGGCCTCCCAGAGACCCCGTGCCGGCCGCTGTGGCCACGTCTGGGCCTCAGAGCTAGCCTCAATGAGACCAGCCTGCCGGCCTCAGGGGACTGCATCTCACAACAAGGAAGGAGGTGAGAGCCACCCGCGCCTAGGGTTGCCTACGTTTGTCACGGGGGACCAGACGTGGTTCAAGAACAAGCACGTGTCTGGGACAGGCCGAAACAGGCTGGTGAGCGAGCGCCTCGGGGTGAGGGAAGCCTGGGGAGGGGCCTGGAGCAGGTGCCCTGAGCGGAGCTGTGTGGGGACACACACACCCCTGCAGACCTTAAACAAGGGTGCACACCAGCCCCCACCCCACCGTTAATGCTCCCAGATGAACCCACAGATCGAGGTTGCTAAAGATGCTTTGAAACGTTTTATTTACGTTTTTTTTTTAAAAGAGCAATAATTTATGCCGTGAACCGAAAAGAGTGAGATGGCATCTTCCAGCCCCGCCTGTCGTCCCCCGGGGTGGCCTACACGGTCTGTGGTCCGCTTGGGAAGGTGACAGCGGGGCCGAGGCCAGGACCCTGGCAGGAGGAGGCCTGCACTGTGAGCAGCCAGGGGGGCACTGGGGGCTTCTTCCTGGCGACTATGAAAGGGACCCTGGCCACCGCGGTCCTGCGCGCACCCCAGCAAAGCCCCGCGGCCGCGCTAGGGCTCCGAGGTCTGCCCGCCTCTTTCCCTCCCCTGCACTGACCCCACCACTGTTTATTTTTGATTGCTTTTTTTTAAAAAATATAATTCTGTAAATGTTCCATAAAAATACTATTGCCCCTGGTCAAACGCGGGATTGCGGTTTGTAGAGTAGCTGTTCTATAAAATGTGAAAAGGTTCTCACACCGGGTGACGTAGAAAAAGGCCAGAATCTCCAGGTATCACAAAAGCCAGTACCGTGCGCGCAAAGGGAAAGCGTGCCAGATGCCGGCCAGGGCTCCCCTCCCGCGCTTCCCGTGCAGCGGCCAGGCCTGCGGGACGCAGCGTGGGCAGGACGGGTCTCCGTGCGTACGGGGAGGACATCATGGCTTTGAGACAGACGGACAGACAGTCGACTGCTCCCAGGCCCAACGAGCCGGCCCTACCAGGGCCACCTGCTCAGCTTGAAGCACCGAAGAAACCAGCAATGCCCGGCCAGGAGCACTGGTGGCCGCCCCGTGAGGACGCGGCCCGACGGGCTCGGGGGCCGCCCCTCCTGCGACAACGGAGGCCCCGCCTGGTCCCCGAGGCGCACTCCCACTCCCACGCAGGCGCTGGGCCTCAGGGAGACCGCACGCCCCGTCCCCCGAGGCGGGAGGGCTCAGGTCCCGGGGCTGGGCTGGGCCTTCAGTTCTCGGAGAGAGACAGGGCCAGGGCCGCCTGGAAGGCCGCTTCCTCATCGATGCTGTAGTCCTGCAAGACAGGAAGTGAAGACGGGGGTGCAGCAGTGGCCTCTCGGGGCCCCAGACGGGACAGCCGCATCCAGAGTCGCGGAGTCACTCTACTGACAGCCCCGAGGGATGTCAAAGTATTGCCCAGCATGGGACCCACATCTGGCTTCCCAACGTCCTTTACAGGGACACCTGACTCGGACACCCGGCTGGGACGCTGGGCGCAGGCGGGTCTGTGGGAGGTGTGAGCTCCTCCTCCTCAGACACAGGTACCAGGGTTCTGAACTGAGCAGAGGGGCAGGGCATGTCTGGGGCCCCTGGCAATTAGGACGGGGCGACAGGGCTGAGAGCAAATAGCCCCAACGGCTGGG